GCATGCACACGGATGGAGCATGCACACGGATGGAGCATGCACACGGATGGAGCATGCACACGGATGGAGCATGCACACGGATGGAGCATGCACACAGATGGAGCATGCACACGGATGGAGCATGCACAGGAAAGGTGCTGTGCACAGGATGTCATGACAGCACAAAGTGGAGGCTTAGAGAGAGCCAGGAAAGCCTTCCGGCACCACCAGTGCTTAAAGCACAAGAATGATTGGGAAGTGCCAGGTAAAGAAAGGCAAAGCAGATGTGACCTTTGCAAGCAAAAGAGAACTCAGGTGGAAAGGCATCAAAGATCATGGTGGGGGTTGTTTATGTGTGTGTATGTAATTCAGCACTGCTTAAGAATTCAATGCAAGGGAAAGACCAAGGGCTAAGACAACTGCCTGCAACTGTGCTTCTCAAGTATGCTATAGACCTCTACTGGTAGCACCCAAGGATATCGGTAAGCCAGGGAGCAGGGCATTTGGAGGTAGGCACCAGTTTCACCTGAACTCCATCTGTTCATGATATTCTGGTACAGAATACTGCCAGAGGTGATCACAGCTATTAAACACCAAAGCAGAGGAACGACCAGGTTGGAGTCTCATTTCTGAGAGGGTACTTAATTGCAGAGTAGAGAATGAGCTGGAGGAGGTACGAGAAATTAGAGACAGTCACTAGGGTGCTGTACAGTCTAGTACAGGAGCACCTCTCCCAGAATAATAGGAGAAGAGAAAAGAAGAGATGGAGTGTGAAATCTATAAAAGGCGAAAATGGCATAAATACGGAACTGGCTGGGTATGGGAACATGAGAAGAGGGAAAGATCACGTTTAACTTCAAGTCCCCAAATATAAAATAAGGCTTTAAATCCTAGATTGGATTGCCAAATCCCCATTTGAAAAACACATCGGAAAACAATTTGGGCCTCTGTGACGATTGTGGCAATGTTTACTGCAGCAGTAAGTCCGCTGTTATCAACCAGCATTTGTAATGTGTAGGGTTTTAGGAAACAGGGTCATGGACCACACTGATTGGATTTTACCAAAGCAGAATGCAACCTAAGAGGTCAACTCCAGAGAAAGAAAGACACAATTCCCAAAGTAACTTAAAATGCTGGGACTGAGGAAGATTTTCCATTTTATCACTGAATGTCTTCCCACCTTTTTACAATCTGTACCCCAGTCTCCTTCCCTGTAATCATCACCACCTCCCACGAGGCCACAGTGTGAAGATCTCTTTTCTAGAAGTATCGGAACGTAGAGAAATAGGCAAGTACTAAGTTCCTAGAGGTGATATTAAAATGCCACAAAATAAGGATTTGGTTTTTAGTGACTTTTTAAAATTTCTTCCAAAGGAAGAAATAAAAGTAAGAAGGGCAAATGGGAATTGAAAGAAAGGGAAAAATAAAATCTGATGTATACACAGATAGTTCGGCTTCCTATGCATGCCTAAGTGAACTTGGCTGAAGCAGATAGTGCAAGAAGGGAGTGGCCAAGGACCAAGGATGCCACCTCTGCCTGGGCCACTCCCATGCAGATCAATCCTCTCCCAGCAGCAAGTGCAAAGAGGAGTGATCTCACAGCTTTCACACAGAGGCATCCTGAAAGCAGGCGTGGCAGTTGCAAAGCAGTTTTGTAAAGGGCAGTGATTCCCAGCAGACTGAAATTCTAAATGGACTCTAAGTGCATCTGAGTAAGAATAAAGCTCTCTAGAGTCTTTTTTACAGCTAAAGTTTATCAGAATAACAGACATCTTTCATTACCACTCTAAGACTAAAGACCTAAAGCACCAACACAGAGGGAGCCCCATTTTTCTATGCAGTACCGGCAGTCTTCCCAGCCAGTACTAACTCCAGCCAACGTTCATTACCTGCACAAACGTGAGTGCGGCTTTCTGCAGGAGACACTCGGCATAACAGATTTCAGCATGCATTTCCTCTATTAAAAACAAATAAAATTATATTAAGAAAAATCCCACATCTACTGTAACTGCTCAGAGATGTTCAGGAAAGACTGGTAGATAAATGAACCCAAGAGAGACACAAAAACCTAGATTGCTTTGGTTCTTCTGTAAAAGCAGAATGATGACCTCAGTTCTCAGTCTTTCAGCAAGATTTTCCTGGAATATGCGAACTGTGAGGGGAAGTTATATCCGGCCCCATTCGAACCTGACTGCAAAGACTCAGGCACTGGCATCAGAGACCCAAACTCATCTCATACAGGAAAATCAAAATTTAACAGCACTGTTTTAAAAAAGGAAACTATGTATTTTTTAACTTAATAGTAACATGAAAGCCTAACACAGTTATAAAGATAGAAAAAATGAACTTACGAATTCTGGCTTCTAAAATTTTAAAAGACAGGTATGGTAATTATGACAATGACTAGACACATTATTCACCTGGAGAGAAAGCAGCAGTTCCCTCGGGTCTTGGGGAAAAGAACTGCCCTGAGTGCCCAAGTTAGGACTCCTCGCGCGTAGGGGACTTGATACTGAGTTAGCACCACCCCGGTGTGGGGTTAATTTGATCGTTTAGCTGTCTAGCATCAGAATAAGGCACTAGGGCTAAGTAAAGCTGCGTATATCACAGGGACCAGGGGAGCACCCCAAAACACATGTCCTTGCTTCATAAACTATCCATTATACTTGTAGAGACTGGGGAGACAAATCTTTGCATTTTGTATAAATAAAGTCAGCAGATTCCTGCTTTATCTATGGGATACAAATTGGTGTGGTGTTTAAGTAAATGAGCTTGGAGTGTTTAATAGCCTAGGTGGGTAGAAAGGCTCTGCCACAGGACCTTGAACACAGTATCCTACCTCTCTCTGTTGATGTCCTCATCTCTAAAGCCTATTGATCTCATCCCTACTTCACAGCAGGACTAAAGGAGGCACCACACTCAGCGCTCACTGTGGAGATTCTGCACTCAATCGATGCCAGTACCTTCACTCAGGGTATCGCCCGGGCCCACATCAGTGCTTCTTAGTAAAAGCTCAGAAAGCAGAAATAATTTTTATGTTGAATAAGCAGCTGGAAAATAGGCTATTTCTGTGTTATTGGGAACACCGTTGAATCCAACTAGATAAGAACCACTGCTTTCTGTACTTACACCCACAGACCCCACCCCAACGCTACACATGTGCAACCCTCTGCTTCTCACAAATTGGTTCAAGCTCCTTCAAATGTTAGCTGAGATCCCCAGCAGCACACAGACTGATGGGCCAAACCCACGGCAGGTGCGACCTGTGCACATTCTAGGAGCATCCACAGTCAGGTCTCAATCCTCTTGCCCTTCAACTGTGTGTTCAGTGGTGTACAAACCAGTAATATTTTTACACCGTCACCTGAATGTCCTCTTCCTAGGTAACTTTGTAACAAAAAGTGAGAACTGTCCAGAATTATTAACTAAGAAAGTTTGCTCAGAAACACAGATTGCTGGGTTGGGGCAGGTACAGAGGGGATGAAGTCAGTGGTGGAGAGGACCAACAGGTGCTAAGGTATGGAGCAAGGAAAGGGTGGAGCACCTTCAGGGCAAGGCCACCCCGCATCAAGGGAGGAAAGGGTAATGAGGCTGGAAAGGCCCATGGGGGATCACTTGGTGTTGGCCTTGAATGTCAGAGTCTGGGCTTAGTTCAGTAGGCAACGGGGAGTCCTTATGGAGATATGGGCAGTTGGGTGGGCAGACCAGGGTCAAGCCAAAGGTGGACAAATCTAAGAGCAGCACAAAGAATGTACCACAAAGGCGAAGAGAAAAGGCAGGAGACTTTGTATTCTGTATTCCACAAGTAAGTATTCTTCACTGCAAATCTCCTTTACATCCTAAGCACCGCCATTTAAGTATTTGTTTTTAAAGGCAATTGAAACCCAGTCAGGGCAATCCGCCAGGCACGAGAGAAAAGAGTTGGTGCGTTCCACTTAAGCCCACGAAAAGTTTAATGAAATATACACACTCCTGCAGTCAACCAGATACTCAAGGATGTAAATGAAAATTACCAAGAGGAAAAACAAATCACACACTAAAGCTACAATGTTTTGACATGCTCCCTTGAACACAAAGTCTGTTTGGGTTGCAGTAACAGCCAAACTCACTAGGAATGAAATGCGACTTGATTTATAAAACTCTTATTCTTTCACTAGGGTTGATTTACATTGTGCAGTTCCTTAGTTCTCAGAATCAGCCATTAGGCATTTATGAGTAAGTACCTACCAGAATCTCTCTCTCATCTCCCAATCTTAAATTCCTTAGTCTGCCGAAGAAAGTATCTTCCTAATGCACCAAAATGCAAGCTAAGTGCAGCCTTTAGAGGTAAAAGTCTAAGCCAACTTGTGTTTTAGAACAGACTATAGTTATGAGCTAGTTTATTTATTTATTTAGAGACAAAGTCTTGCTGTCACCAGGGCTACAGTACAACAGTGTCATTATAACTCACTGTAACCTCAAAATCCTGGGATCAACAGATCCTCCTGCCTCAGCCTCCCAAGTAGCTGGGATTGTTTTCTGTGAGGTGGCAAGTGCCACCATGCTCAGCTAATTTTTTTCTATTTTTTTGCAGAGATGGGTTCTTGCTCTGGCTCAGGCTGATCTTGAACTCCTGGCCTCAAGAAATCCTCCCACCTTGGCCTCCCAAAGTGCTAGAAATTACAGGCGTGTACCACCCTTCCTGGCCTATTCTTTAATAATTAGTAAAAAGTAATTTTCTAGCTTATTTCAGATTTCCTAAGATGTCATTATCTAAAGATATTATAAAAAGAACACAATTTCATCTGTTTTCAAGACATCTAACGTAGGAATAATTCAACCTTTTGCTCATCCACATGTAATACATCTGTGCCCTTTTCTACCTACCTACAGGAGGAAGTGTGGGTTACAGTGGCAAGAGCTGTGGCTTAGAGAAAGGCAGGTCAGGTTTACCCTGCTCTACTTGATGGATAACCCTGACCCTTTATTTAATCTCCCTGCACATCAGTTCCAAAAGGAGGTTACACAGCTTAGATCAGTTAATGTGAAGGCATGCACCAAAAACAGCACCCAGCACAGCTTTTTAAAAATGAGTTATTATCATTGTATTTTAAAATTATGATTTATACTCACACCAAAAATATCACATCATTATTCCCAAAACTAAGGTTAAAAATCTCAAATGTCGGCCTTCAAAAGGAAACGAGAGGCAGGGGTCAGTGGGAAACTGGAGAAGAGCCCTACAGAGGGTAGCAGAAAGGAGAATACCAATGAAAGAGCCCAATTTCTTTGGAGCCTATTTTATTTCCCATTGGACTTTGAACCTAATGGGACCAATTTATACAAACGGCCCAAATATGGAAAATATGAAGACATATTCTATCTGAAATCAAGTACATAAATGAATTCTTATGACTACTTGGAGGTCTGTTCCTGGAGAAAAAGGTGATGGTTCCACTGCCTGGGCTGACAAATGTAATGCCATTCTGTTTTTACCATGGTTTGGGGGCCAACACTATGTGCTTTTGGAACAAATCCCAAAGATGTGGTATGTCTCATAATCCTCTGCTGTAAGCAACACTCTGGCCCCACATCATGCAATGTTCCCAAGTTCTCCAAAGCCCATAACAAGTTGAAAGTACTTGTCTAACAAAATAGAAAAAAACTTCATAATAAAACACACTCGGAAGTATGTCTGACATACACTTGACCATTAGGAATGACTCTAACAGCAGTATCCAGAATCGTTCTTGCTTTAATCAGCCAAAGCTACTTGTAGTATTTTGCATTACCTATTCCAAACAACAAGTTGATAATGACTACATGGTACAAATTTCTCCTGGGATGGCACACGTTATTCTACAATGAAGGACATTATTTCTTCCTTCTTCTACAGGATTATCAGGATGCTCCTTTCTAGTGAACCATTTAGACTAAAGTGTAACACTGATAAAACAGAGCTGATCAGGAAAATTCTACCTGATCTCAGTGGGAACATCAAGCAATTGACAAGAGTCACTTCCTCCCATCATCCACCTGATCAGGGAGCTGCAGCCGTTCCTGGACTCTTGAATTTTCTTAAGTGTTCACAAACCAAATAACTTCCATTATCATTTTTTAAAGACAGCAGAATTACTTGGGAAAAATCTACTTGAAAAAAATAGCTTGTGGAAAACTGTAGTTGGATAGGGAGACTATAAACTGACCTCAGTTTTTGGAGAAAAAATTGGCAGTACCTGTAAGTATTTTAAATTTTCAAACCTTCAGTCCCTAATTCCACTTTTAGAAATCTATCCTATGAAATACTTGAAAAATATGCATGAAGACATATGTACAAGGACTTTAGGACACCATTATTTATAGTAGTGAAAAAATAAAAACAATACAGAAAAAGCAAGGACATTAGGACATACCCATCCCATGGAATACCACACAGCTGTTAAACAGAATAAAGTATATGTTCGTGTACTGACCTAGGAAAATGTCAATGTCAAAATCACATTGTAGAACCATGCATATTACGTGATTCTATGCTTACAAAAAAACAAATACTTGGACAACAACAAAAATCCTATATGTACCTTGTGTATATACTCATATATGTACACAGAAGCCTGCAAAACTTCAAAAGCACTATTGCTGGTTACTTCTGGAGAGTGAGTCAAGATAAGGAAGAGAAAAAGATTCCATTCACTAACACACTTCAGCATTGAATTTCATGAGATGACTGTTTTTAATTTTACAAAAAAGAAAAAATTAATCTTTGAAATAGCCCATACCTTCGCTCAGCTGTTCTAATGATCCTCTAGAAAGAAGATTTGAGAAAGATTCTACAACCGTGCATTTTTTCCTGTATCTGCATTGAATAATAAAAGAGGAGATGAAGAACATAAAGGAAAAAATAACAACACAAGCTGCACTCATTTTCATGCGACATTCATTTTAGTCATAATCATACCAAAAAGTGTCCAAGCTGGAACTCCAAACCCTAAAGTGTGCGGGTCAGAGAACATCCCTTTCCCACGCTGTACACCCCGTACTGGCTGGCAAGCCCTGGGGACACAATCCATGTTACCAAACACACGACTGGGGGAACCACCCATTCACCCAGTGAACACCAAACCTGCAAAGCTCCTTCCCTTACTTTATAGGTAAAAATCAATATCTGTTATAATATTTCTACCATAAAAAAATATTTAAAAGGAGTTAAAGTGCAATATTTGGAAACTCTCAATAGCTTTTACTAAGGTCCTCCTTTATATACAGAGTAAAGCTTAGAATAAAACTAAAACTTCATCTCACCTGGACCAACCCAAAGTGTTTACATGCCCTTTTTGTTTTTAAAACCTACATACAATTAGAATCTTCAAAAACATCCTTTTAAAAACAAAACATTCTCATCTGGATTGGGAGCATCCCTCACAGAAAACAAGAATACTTCTTGCTCGGCTCAGCAAGGCATGATCTCACTACAGGGGGACCCTGAGGGATGCTTGCTGCTAACCCCACTGAAATCCCCCTCAAACCTTCTCTGTGACTCAAGTCCCATGCTATCAAAAGGAAAAGTAGAAGGTATAGGTGTCAAACATGAATTCTAGTATAATTTCTAATAGAAATTTTTTAATACTATTACATACAACTACATGAGGCCAAGAAGCTTTGAGGCTGAAGTCCTTTTCTGCAACTTCAAACACAGAGCTCTCAGTCAGGCAAGCAGCATTTATTATGTCACACAGGCATAAAGGTTTGCAGTCATATTTCAAATATTTAATTACTCAGGCATACTTTTGGCAGGTCTGTAAAGCGTCCTTCATAGCAGAAATGCCGTTTTGGATGTCCTGTTGCTCAAAGGTCATGACAGCCTGCAACACCACAATGGTACTGTAGCCCAGAGCATGGTACATACTCTCCTTAGCCCTGGGGAGAACACAGGGAATTAGTACGTTTCAATTCAGCAGAAAAAGCAGTCCAGGTTTTGTCTGATACTGACCATAAGAAATCCTAGTAAATGCACGCCCTGACTCTCACAGTAAGAACCTAACTGGCAGGTTCTTAAAGCTCAGATGTCAAGGACTTTGCAATTTAAACCCACAGAGGCAGAACAAAATGTTCAGGTTGAAAAAATGGACAATATGCTTTTCTCTGTTTCAGCACAAGGGGGCAGCCTGTGGATTCAAAGGTTTCAAAGCAAATCAATGATTTTTTTTTTTTTTTCAGTTGAATAAGGGGCAGTGCACTGGCTCTGGCTCTGAAATAAGTGCTAAAACAAAGGCAGATGAAAATGCATTTTGTGACAGATCTGATGTGAGGGAAGATAAAGGCCCATTTAAATCATCCCCTCTTTTCTCCAGCCAAAGGTCAAAAGGAAGGATTTTTGCAATAAATCATTCTAATCTAATCCCATTATCTGAGCTTCCTAATTAAAGTCCTTGAAACAGTAATTCAGATTATCAAATTATCAGTGACAATTGCTTTGGGATTCTTAAGGAAGTTAATTAGTCCTAATTTGTGGCTGATATTCAGACTTTCAGGCTGTGAAAACACCACCATTTCTTTTCTCAAAATTTAAGTTAATTATTTATAAGGTTTAAAATAGCAGTGCATGGGTTTGTTTTTAACTTAAAAATTAATGCACAACAGCTTGCTGCTATGCAAAACAAATGCAATCCACATTATTCTTTTCCCCCATGGCAATAGTATAAACATCCTTTGATAATTTGCAAATTACTAGTTTGCTCTGAACGTTAAGGGCACTACCTGTCCAAAAGAATCACAAGGAATAAGAGCAGCCCAAAGTTAATCATTAATTGTGGTTTCAAACTTCACATTTTTAACTGAAAGCTCTTCCAGGAGGCAAAAAAAGGTTTCAAGTTGAAAAAAAGTCTGTTTAACAGTGAAACATGCACAAAGATCAGAGAATATACTGAATATATTACTTTGGCTGAATATAATACTTCATAACTTATTTTCATTATGTATTATGAGCAGCATAGCATCAGTGGCAGGGGAACAGGAGACTTGTTTGAATTAAAAACATAGGAAATAATGGGTACAAACATACAGCCAAATAGAAGGAATAACTTGTAGTATTCAGTAGTAAAGTAGAGAAATTACAGTTAGTAATTTATTGCTTACAGGCAGTCCCAGGGTTACAAACAAGATAGGTTCTGTAGATTTGTTAAGTCAAATGTGTATGTAAGTTGGAACAAGTACATTTACCTATTACCTGCAACAGCCTCCTCGTAAGTGTGAGTCATAGGTCATTCGGATGTTTGTTACTTGGGGACTGCCTATATTTTGAAACAGCTAGAACAGAAGAATTACGGTCCTAACACAAAAGTACAGATAAATGTTTGAGGTGATAAGTATCCTAACTACCCTACCTACTTGATAGTTATACACTGGACACCAGAATCAGAATACCATGTGTATCCCAAATATATGCACAACTGTGATGTATCAATAAAAAATACAAGACCAAACCAAACGAGACAGGCAGATAAGCTAAGAGAAGAAATAGAAGGAGAGATAAAACAAGAAAAAGACAAGCTGACAGAAGATGACAAAGGTAGGGAAAGCCAGAAGACAGAAGTCTGGAGGGACTGAGGACAGAGGGGAAGAGGGAGAAGACAGGCAAGGTGGAGGGGACAGGGGACAACTTCCTTAGACCACGGGCTTCACTATCTATTTCATCACCCGTTCTTAAGCTCTGAGGGGCTCACTGCCCAACCTTGATCTATAGCAGTAGAACCATGGCCGCTCCTCAGTTGGTAAAATAACCTCTAAGGTCCAAAGTCAGTGGACAGTCAGGTCACTCTGTAGCAGAACAATGAAAGTAAGGAATGGGATTCCCCACCCTTGTGCCCCAATCATCTAGAAAGTTATTACCCAGGTCTAAGCCTTATCCATGAAAATGATTGTGTTTGAAGGCACAATGTGAGATTATTCTCACCAAGCTGAAGGTCTAGTGAACAGGCTGAGCACAGGTTTTGCTGCAATATTGGAAAATTTTCAAAAGTGAACTATTAATTGAAATTTAATTGTTTAACTTATACAAGGGCTATCCAGAAAGCATCTAGCCATGTAATATGAAAAACAGACGTACATGGCTGGATACTTCCTCGTGGTCTTCGTATATACCATAAATTGTCTTAAATTTCTTTTTAGCATATTCTAGTTCTTCCCCTCATCCTTTCAAAGGAAATATTTTCAATAATATTTAAGAGGAATGTCCATAAAAATACTTCACTGAAGAAAGCAAAGTCTAGCATATTCTAATTCTTTCCCTCATCCTTTCAAAGGAAATATTTTTCAAAAATATTTAAGAGGAACGTCCATAAAAATACTTCACGGAAGAAAGCAAAGTCGAAGCCCTACAAAACTCCATAAGATGACAATATTGGAACAAATATTAAACATGAGAACGAATCAGAAGTCTTCTACTGACTAAATTTGAAAAAAAAGATTTCTTGACTGACCAAAAGTAAAGGGTCTCAACTAACTTAGTTTATATTCAAGTAGGAACAGATAAAACAGCTTACAAGGATAACATCAAAGAATCATCACAAATGTCTGAAAAAATATTATATCTAAAAGAAAAGAAGTTAATTACCATGGTCGGAGCAATTCTAAGGCGTCTGTAAATTTGTTACTTAAAAATAAGTCCAATGCCACACCACATTCTTCTAGGCCACTCTTGAGATCCACCTTGGTTGATGATGAACTAAAGTCAAAAAAATAAAATAAAATACACATAATTTCTATAACTTTCACTATTAGCAAGTTGTCCCAGGGAGTGTATGTATATGTCCTTCAGAGATAAGACAGGTTGGAATTCTAACTTAGTCACTCACTGTGTCTTTAATATCCCTAAGACTTAACTTTCTTACCTATAAAATGGGATCCCCACAACCACCTACTTCCACCACCAAATGAGACTATTGTGAGGATGAGATAAACTAACAAATACTGCCCATAGTAGGTACTAAATACATCTATAGCCCCCTCCCCTATCTCTCCAAAAATCCCAAGTGTAGAAATTACATACCTTTGTTCACAGGGAAGGAGATTATTTTGTTTTAGTTTGATAATATATGGGAAAAAATGTGCTCCAATACAAAACCATGCATTGTTCAGACTTTTGAAGAGAACTCTACAGGCAATTTGATTCTGACTCTATGAGAGCTATTGCAACTCTGTAAATTATAGGAAACTGGTAGCCGTGGAAAATAATTATCTAAAGATGTTATTTTGTGGAAGAAGTTAATTTTCCTGAATTTGTGCATTCATTTCAACATTCCTTTATTTGATATAAATTAGTTTTGTCTTGATTTCTCCTCCTTTGAACCTGTTATAACCTCTGCCAAGTATACTCCTTGATTAATAATTAATCAGTCTAATTAATGATTAAATAAAATCTATAATATGTGTTCATTTTTATATCTAGGTAAGAGTCATGATTTTATCCATTTTTCAAAATTATGTTAATCATTCATAACTGACAGAAATTTTGCTCTTTAAAACTACAGCCATCTCTAAAATGCTCCATGTAACAACTCTCAATAGGAAAAAATTTCAGTAAATAAATGAGCAGTAGGATGATCCGGCACACAAAAGTGCTGATAAGAAGCAAACCTGACAAGTATTTAAAGTTGAATTTCCATGTCATTGACCTCTTCAAACTCATTCATTAAAGGATGACAGCAAAGTTCCACTTCACTTCCTATTAGCAAGTTGTCCCAGGGAGTGTGGTTACTACCAGTAATGGGTTCTGAGGGTGCTTCATGGAAACACCCTCCACCCCCAGGTCTTCCCATGGTTCTTTCTCAGATCTCAGCTAGCACAGCACCAACTCAGAGCAGCCTAGCTGCTCCACCCATTCTCTCTCACTGTTTTTGCTCTATACAACTTATTACCATCCAAAAGTATCTTGTGCGTGTGGGACTTTTGGACATGTTTGTCTATCTTCCTTTCTAGGACATAAATATGAATGAATTATTTTAGTCACTGCTGTGCCACTAGTGCCTTTGGACTACCTAGAACGTAGTATATGCTCAATAAATATTGCTGAATGGTCAATGAGTGGGTAGAGTTGTTCTGAGTAGAAATATAAGATTCTTCCAACCTAGATTTTGAGGCACCTCTACCAGAACAGAGTAGAAATGAGACAAGCTTTTGATGCAGGGGTAGACAGCTAAGAAATATTTTGCCCTTAAGCTTCTGGTAAATGAAGAGATCAAATAAGAATGCTAAGAGTTCACAAACCTCTCACAGGAAGAGTTTTCACAGGAAAGTTGCTTGAAACCTCCTCTATCAGGTCATCACCAAATGTTGTCAGTGTTACCGCCTGGATGTCTCTGGAATTTATCCTGTTTCATCTCCACCACCCATCCAAGTTAGCCCTCATGAGTTGCCTAGTGAGGCATTTCTTCCCCCATTGCCTACTTCTACTCCCCCCAGTCAAATCTGTATCCCTAATCCATTCAATCTAATATTCGTGGAACACTAAATACTTGCCAGACCCTCTTCTAGATGCTGGCAATACAGCAACAAACAAGACGTGCAGGATCCCAGGCTCTCAAGGAGCTTTCATTGTCCTGGGGAAGGGAGGGCAGATAAGTAGACCAGGAACTGAGTAGGGTTACCTTGGACTGGGAAAGCCAGTCTGGGTTAGAACCTGGTTTGGGGAAAGGCAGGGACGTAAAGGCCCAACGCAAACGAGGGTAGTCACTGAAAGCTCCCCAAAAGGTGACATCCAAATGCTGTGCAAAGGAGCCAACCTGGGGGAGAAAGGGGAATTCTAGACTGCAACTGTAAGCAAGGCAGCAAATGGGAGAAAAGACAGAAAACAGGGGAAAGCCAGATATTCTACGAACAAAAGGAAATATACTGGCTCAGAAATCCTCACTCCTAATCACCACTTCCCTTCAAATATTAGGTTTCCAGTTTTACTCTCATGTGATCTCTTAATCATCACTCCCACCAGTTCTAAAGTTACAGCTCATCCTTTGTTACCAGGAAATGGGCCACGAACAGCCCAAACAAACAACCACCTCTGCATCTCAGCTGTCACGCTGCCACCTGGGAGGATGCACTATACATGTTCCAGCTGAGAGGGAGACACCTATGTGGGAGCTCAGCATCCCCAAACATGGTAAACTCAACCCTTCTCAGGGACCTTGATGATGCCCAACTGCAACCCCCACCCCTGCACAGCACCAGTGCTACCGCACGTTCTGCCACTTTAACCTTGGCCAACGCATCTCTCAAGCATCTCTTGGAGACACTTCGCTTCTTCATGTCCACTGCCATCACACTCATCAAGGCTCGTCACGTCAGGTCTGAATTCTGAAACCCTCTCCAAGGATGCCTCCTTGGCTATTCCTGCTTTGATTCCATGGTTCCCAAACTTCAGTATGCACCTGGGAAGCTTGGCTAGAACAGATAACGAGGCCCCACCTCCACAGTTTCTCTCTCAGTAGGCCTGGGGTGGCCCTGACAAACCCCCGGATGATACTAGTTCTGCTTTAATTCACCCACAAGCTACTACTCTCTTCCTAAACAGATATTTATCATATTGCCTCCCTAGATTAAGAACCGAAAGTTACTACCACACCTATAACAGAGTGGAACTCTGGCCCCACCACACCTGTCCAACCAGGCTGGTTGTGGTGAGCAAGGCTATTTACAAACAACCAAGCATCCTGCAGGAGGCTCACAAACATGGCATCTCCCTCAATTCTGGTGATACAATAAAGAAATTCCTGGATTGGAAATCACAGGCTAGCCCCGGGACCTCCTTGAGTCCCTTGCCTCATCTTGAAAATGCCCTCCCATTTCACAATGTCTGCGGGAGAAACAAAGGCCGTGGTTGCTGTGAGTGTGTTCTGTGAACATCCAAGCCCTATGCAAATTAACAACCATGTATCATTTTCTAAAGGTTGTGGTGCTCGGCCCACAGACTCCCATTCCTGAGCTGCGGCAGATCTGAGCAGGGGCCTTTTAATGTACATATCTCTAGTCCAGATGAGGACTCTTTCTTAGAATGAGATTTTAGCCTTACATTTTAAAAAAGAAAAATACAGAAAACAAATACACAAAAATTTGAGACTATACTAGTATGGCTATCACTTACATTCTAATTCCATTTCTTCCTGTATTAATTACTTAATAAGCTTGACTGCTCATAGGTTGTGCTGTTAATAGACACAGTGTGCTTAGAGTGGTATCTGCCACATAAAAATCCTTGAGTAATGCCAGCTAACGTCATCATTATTTTTTAAGTTACTGAATAGCCTTCAATAATTCAGAGCTGTCAAGGAGTTTATTTGAATAATAACCTGTTTCTTCATTTATCTAATCAATTGTACAATACCAGACAAGTTAGCAGTGATCACAGTGGAGAAAGAATAAAATAACAACATGAAAGAGAAGATGAATAAAGAACGTTTGCTTTAGCAATGTTTTCCTTTTTTTTCTTTTTTTTTTTTTCTGAGACAGTGTCTTGCTCTGTCGTTATTTACGGAGATTTGAGAATGTGTGTGTTTGTGTGTGTGTGTGTAAGAACTACTATGGATCAAGGGAGCAAAAAGCAGACCGGAACCCTGGATTCTTTGCTAAATATATCCTCCAGAGCCATGCTTGGATATTTGTCCCCTCCAAAATTCATGTTGAAATGTATTCCCTTATAAGGCAGCATTGAGAGGTGGGGCCCTTTAAGAGTGCTTGGGTCATGAGAACAGGGTCTCTATAAATGAAGTAATCCATTGGTGGATTATGGGTTATCCTGGAGTCAAACTGGTAGCTGAAAGAAGAGGAAGGGACACCTGGCAAGCATGTTAGCACACTCAGGCCTCTCACCATGTGATGCCCAGAACTACCTCGAACTCTACAGACAGTCCCCACCACCAAGAAGGCTCTCACCGGCCAGAGGTGGCACCTCAACCTTGGACTTAGCCTCCAACACTGTAAGAAATAAATCTCTTTTATTTACAAATTGCCCAGTGTTAGGTATTCTGTTACAACCAAGAGAAATGGACTAAGACAGGCTGTAATCAAAATCTTCCCACACTGTACTGATTCCACTGAAATTGTGGGCCTAAATAATTAGATTGCAGACTCCCAATGCTATTTACAATTATTTATCTGGATATTTTGTCTCTATCCTTAGGGAATTCACAATTTTTACTGATTTATATAGGGAAAAAATTAATGACTTTTTTTCTCTTCTCAAATTATTTGAACTCAGTTCACATTGCTTTTATGATGAAAAACTCAGCTGAGTGTGGTGGCTCATACCTGTAATCCATCCACTAGGCGGTCCAAGAAAAAAGGATCGCTTTTGGCCAGGTGTTCAAGACCAGCCTGAGCCAAGAGTGAGACTGCCATCTCTACCAAAACTAAAATGGAAAAATATTAGCTGGGCATGGAGGTGCATGCCTGCAGTCCCAGCTACTCAGGAGGCTGCAACAGGAGGATCACTTGAGCCCACGAGCTTGAGGTTGCAGTGAGCTATGATGACACCACTGCATGCTAGCCAGGGCAACAGAGCAAGACCCTATCTCAAAAGAAAAAAAACCTATTGTGGTTACAACTATATCAAGAAGCACATGCCAAGAAAAAAGACCAGAATGCAATCAATACACCAAAACGCTAACAGCCTGTGTTAAAGTGGCCATAATCATAGTTAACGTTTCTCCTTTCTCCTATCTATCTCCCTAATGCTTGGCATTGTGGTTATATTATTTCATAATAAAAATAATCATTAAAAATGTTTAGAAATAAAAAAGACTCAAAGGGAAGTTCTGCTCCAAAAGTTTAATCTAGTTTCATTGCTTCTATAACAATGCCACCTATTGTCTGCGGCCCCTAACTGCTACTTGCCTCCTCCCCTCATTTGTAAAATGGGCACCGTGCTTACCTGGTCCTCTCTCCACCTCACTAGTTTGTCAAACACAAAACACTCGCTGAATATCAGTCTGACATTCCCGGAAGGATTGGACTGTTCTCCCCTGACCCCCCAGGAATGCCCACGACCTTTCCTGACCTGCGCACAGCAGACGCTCCAGGATGTCTGGATGCCCGTTTCGTATCACACGATGCAAAGTGAAGACTGCTTGTTGCCATATCTGAGCAAGATCTGTTCATTAAAAAGACAGAGAGAGGTTTTTATTTCTTTATCCTGTGGAAAAAATCTACATAAATCCAAGCACACAATACAAGGCCTTCAATGGTATTGAAGGTATACATGTCCCCTCCATTTCTTACCAATTTTAAAAATCAAGTAACAGAAGTTTACCTATTATGTGTTGAACATTCCTGAAACATAGCCCCAATAAACTTTTTATTCTAGTACACATAAAATTAAATTGAAATCATTCCATAGCTTTCCACTTAAAGATGGCCTTGTATTTTAAATATACCCTTCCAGATCTTTTCCCAAGTACATCTATGCTTACTTTATTAAAATTTTATTAAGGATATTTATTATAATATATTACTACATACTATAATTATCCTCAATCTTTTCTTCTCAATAAACAGAGTTGCTTTATTGCACTTACTGTCTACACAAAATAAATTATCCTGAATCAAAGTACCATAATTTGTTACCATTCCCTCATTTTTAGATATGTATGTTGTTCCCAAAGTTTTGGTATTAGAAACTACTATAATAAGCCCCTTTACTCACATTCCTGGTATTCCTTTAAAAAATTCCTGATAGCAAGGGCCTGTATTTTATAAGGTATTTTATTTTTACAAAACTGCCTAATTTCCCATTATATGTACACAAAAGAGGGCTGAGGCAACACAAAGAAGGTGAAGACCAATCTGGTTTCCAGAATTTTAGGCCAATTTAAAGTCAGAGATATTCCACAGACACACCAAGGGAGGCAGGTGAACTCAGGGAAGGAAACTTCCAGAAAGAGCTTGAGAATACAGTCTACCCTGTATTATAATAGGACTGTCAATTTCTTTTTACTTCCATTCACCTTAACAGTAAGTGTCCCAATGGGAGAAGAGCTAGAGTCATCAACAAAAGAGGCAGAAGAAACAGTATTGACTACCTCTTTGGAAACTTTTCCTTTTTTAAAAAAAATTCTAAGATGTAATGCAATGAAGTTTGAGACCAACCTGAGCAACACAGCAAGACCCCATCTCTACAAAAATGGAAAAGTTAGCTGGGAGTGGTGGCATCCACCACCATTGAGGCAGAGGCAGGAGGACTGCTTGAGCCCCGGAGTGTGAGGTCACTGTGAGCTATGAGGACAACACTGCACCCTCACCCACGCAACAGAAGGAGCCCCTGACAGAAGGAAAGAAGGGAGGGAGGAAGAAAAAAACCCTTTTTACTAGGAGAATAGAGGAAGCACTTACACATATGAGACTCGGGGCGGTGACTATCAACTCTGTTTATAAGCAGGGAAAGAGGAAGAGACAGACTGGAAAGCCTGTATCCCCTTTGGGCCATTCCTGCCCATCTGTTCTCTTAGAGACTCCTTTATATGGGCTAGAACACATAGTCTGGATAGTATACTGTGAAAATGTCTCCCTTCCCACTGTCACACTTAGTACTTAAGGAAATAGGACACTTCATACTTAATAACCTAATGCTCTGACATACTGCATTACTCCACGATCTCTAAGAGAGCGAGTTTCCACATGTGCCCAGGTCTGTCTGGAGGCATTCTTTTTTCCATTCACATGTTTGCCTCTCTCTGCACCAGTCACAGTTTTCATTACCACAGCTTTCTGATACCTGGGTGCCTATGGGGAAGTCCTCTACCTTATTCAATGATCTTTTATGGGGAGTGGGGTTGCTATTATTACACTTTCATTCTTATTCATGAATTTTAGAATCAGTCATTATAAAGTTAAAAGAAAAGTCCTGCGGGGTTCATCACATTATTAGAGAAATCTGCAGAGAACTGCTATCTTTATAATACTGCGTCTTCACATCTACACACGTGTATTCAGGCCTCCTCTTATTTCCTCCAGTAAAGGTTTTTAGTAGGTACATCAACACTGCACTGATGTGCGTGTATCCTTGCAAAAGAGCCATGCCAAATCTTCATATTGCTCTAATTTTAGAATCTGTACCACCAAAATAAGCAGTTATTAAAAATTTAAATGAATAAAATGACTCATTTCTTCCGCTCCTGAGTACAATGTAGGTGTTATATTCAGCTGTTAGAAGAAATGTATTTTTAAGTAGCGAAAATACTTTTAGTTGATGGAGACTAAGGAAAACAAAACACCACGTTTCCATTATGTTGGAAGTTATGCCCTTATTTTGCCCTTTTTTTTACTGCTCTAGGTTTTTTTTTTTAAGTTTTTAACAGCTTTACTGAGATATAATTCACAGACCACAAAAATTCACCCCATTTAAAATTTACAGTCAATGTTTTTTAGTATATTCACAGAGATGAGCAACCACCACACAATCTAATTTTAGAACACTTTTTCACCCAATGTATCCATCCATTAGCAGCCACTCCACTTCCTCTAGTCCTACCAACCACTAATCTACTCTCTGGGCCTGTACATGTACCTTTGTGGACATTTCCTATCACTGGAATCATACAATCTAGTCTTTCATGACTGGCTTTTTCAATTAGCATGTTTTCAAGATTCATTCTTGTTGTAGCATGTAGCAGTACTTCATTCCTCTTTATGGACGAGTACTATTCCATTGTATAGATACACCACATTTTGTTGATCATGTCATTTGTTGACAACACATGGGTTATTTCCACGTTGGGGCTATTGGTTTGGATAATGCTGCTTAGCAACGTGTGTAAACAAGTTCTTGTGTGGACACGTGGTTTCATTTCTCTTGGTTACACACCTACAGTGGAACTGCTATGTCATATGTTAACTCTCTATCTGATATTTTGAAGAACTGCCAGACTGTTTTCCAAAATGGCTGTGTCACTCCCTTTATATTCCTACCCACAATTTATAAGAGGTCCAACTTCTCAACATGGCCAATATTTATTTTCCATTTTAGTGGGTGTGGTGTATCTCACTGTGGTTTTGACTTGCATTTGCTTACTGATAATGTTGAGGATTTGTTTAGGATCTTATTGGCCAATTGTGTTATCTTTGAAAAAAATGTCTATTCAAATTTTTTCCCATTTTTAATTGAGTTACTTGTCTTTTTATTACTAACCTGAATATTACTCTGATTTTCAATCACTAGGCAGAATAACTTTCAAATGAAAAATTTACATCAATCTTTGTTCATACTTTCCTCTCAATCAGATTATAGTTAGTGAAACCAATTCCAACTTAATTTCCCCAATAAATCCAACACACCGAATTCTTGTACAATGAGATAAAAGCTAGCCCAGTTTTTTAACAATGAAATAAAATTTCAAAAATTAATAAAAGTATCCTTCATACCCTTCAAGATTTTTTACCAAAGTTAAAATCTCTCCTTAGGGGAAAAGGAGTGAGTGTAGACAGGCCACTTGATAAGCTCTGGGAGGCACCATGTATATTATCTACAATTTAAACAGTGTGCACTAGAGTTACCAAATGCAGGACTCTGACACCCCACCCCCCATGGAAATCTACAGTAATTAATATTACTGACCACGTGAACAGACTGTCTTTCTTACTAAAGGAAACTACTCACCAGACAAAGTTCTGCCTGATTAATGATTCCTCAAATAACCATTCTCGTGGTCAGTGACCAAAGGAAAGGGATAGTGCTACTGCTGACAGTAAGAAAGAACAGCCTCCAAATCAACAGATAATCCCCAAATATCATTTCACCATCCACCTCAACCTCATTTTGCTGGGCCTGTCACCAGGGCTATCAGAATCAAAGCAATGTAATTTCAACTTTCTCTCCCCATGCTGGCCTTTCTTCAGAAAGAAGAAATAGACAGCTGGAAAAAGTCAAAGGGCAAGCACCCACAAAGGATACAACTGTTCTATTGAGTGAGAAACTGTGAACTGATGAGCTAGGTAATCTGTCCCTAAATAATCTATGCTTAGAATTCTTACAAGGGGCTCGGCGCCTGTGGCTCAAGCGGCTAAGGCGCCAGCCACATACACCTAAGGTGGTGGGTTCGAATCCAGCCCAGGCCCGCCAAACAACAATAATGGCTGCAACCAAAAAATAGCTGGGCCTTGTGGCAGGCGCCTGTGGTCCCAGCTACTTGGGAGGTTGAGGCAGGAGACTTGCTTGAGTCCAGGAGTTGGAGGTTGCTGTGAGCAGTGAAGCCATTGCACTCCACCCAGGGGGACAGCTTGAGGCTCTGTCTCAAAAAAAAAGAATTCTTACAAGGATTCCTCAATCAAAGCTACAGACCTTCATATTATTTGTAGGGGTTGGCTGATTTTTAGATTCTTTGTGCTTTTTTTCCTATATTTTTTCTTTTTTTTTTAATTAAGTCATTCATACATATATCATAAGTACATTTATGCCATTATGGGATAAATAATCAATGTATTAATTATTTGTACAAATTGGATTGCTTACATCCTACTAATCAATACAGCCTTCACCTCATTTACCCAATTATAGGAATAAGACATTTATGCTCTATGCCTGATAGATCCAACTTGTACTTGCAATATGCTTCATAGGTGTAAGTACATACCAACCCTCCCCCAGGAAAAAAATTAAGTATATATTTTGAGCAATTTAAGTTCAAATTCATGAAGGGACTATTCAAATATTAATGTAAGGAAACATCCTCTGATCAGTCTTTTTATATCACACATAGCTCAAAATAATTCCCCTAAATTTTTACCCCTTTCAATATAAAGAAGTCAGAATATATCACTATTCAATGTCTCCAATGTTAGTTTAGACATATTTTATGTTTTCTAAACTTTCACTACTTTGAAAGAGTCAATTTTTAAATGTTGTGGCTTTTCTAATTTCATCTTTTCTACTTCCTGCATTGATACATGCTTCATTGTGATCTTAAGTTTTATTCTAAAATAACTCTATTACTATGTTCCTGAATTGTTTTTAAACATTACTTTTTACACATTTTTATTGGTACATAATATTTGTACATATTAGTGAGGTATGCATATGATCATTGTGTAATACAATATTTATCATTTCTATGTGTTGGGAACATTTAAAGTCCTCTATTTTAGCTATTTTGAAATATA